CCGTTAGTTGGCATGGCCCGGGAGCAAGCCCACTGAAAATCACGTGTCCTCGACCTGCCCCTGTCCTTTGGTGTTCCTCTCACCAAGCGAAGTATCGCATGCTGTGGGCTCAGCCCCACTGTACAGTGAGGAAGAGCTAACAGAGGGCGGTCAGGAACGGGGGGAGACATCCGCCTCTTCAGCAGCCAGGCGAAGAAGTAGTGGCGAGGAGAGTGGCTCGGTAGCCGGTCTAGAGACAGGTCTGTCTCCTGACCCACACGCAGCCGAGGGGGCTAGTAGTGAGGCGGAGACCCTAATTGATGATGATGAGGCTGATCGCACTTGGCAGCCTCGTCGTCATCAGGCTATTGCTTCCGCATCATCAGGAGAAGAGGGTGGCAGCTTTGGCAGCGAGCAAAACAGTCGGTGGGTTGCCCAGGAGGCAGCAGGGTCGCAGCAGTGTCAGTGGAGGCAAACGGCCACGGAGTAGTACAGCACCAGCTCCACTGCAGCCTACCACCACGGCCAGTAGTGGTGCCGGTGTGCGGGAGGAAGCAGCAGTCAGCCAGCCAGTGAGAGGAGTATCGGGGGCAAAGTTTCCTACTCGGCGGTGTGGCAATTTTTTGTCAAGCCGCCCGAGGAAGTAAACGTAGCCGTATGTCGACTATGTGGCAGAAAGAAAGTCAAGCAGGTGGCCAGGGGGCCCATGTTGGGACTACAGCATTGCGGCAGCATATGCAGCGTCGCCATTTGGTGGCCTGGGAAAACCGTGATAAAGATACGGCGGTTCTGCCTGCCGCCCCAGCCCCCCCCGCTCCATCACCCGCTCCGTTACTTGCTCCGTCACCCGCTCCGTCGTCAATCGCCCTCTATCAGCCAGTCAAGGCTCCAACACACCTGCTGCTGGGGAGGGGAGTTGTCGCTCGTTGGCATCTTCCGCTCGTTCTGATGCTCCTTCTCCTGCTACTCCTCTTCACGGATTCCGTCAGCAGTCTTTCTTGGAATCCGTTTCCAAGAGACAACAGTTTGCGAGCACGCACCCGACGGTGCAAAAGCTGAACGTCCTCCTGTCCAAGTTGCTGGTGCTGCAGTCCCTCCCTTTCCAAGTGGTGGACTCAGCACCTTTCCGAGAAATGATGGCTTGTGCGCGCGCCGCGGTGGTGGAGAGTGCCAAGCCGTCATTTCTTCGCCAAAAAGGCAGTGCCAGCCCTGCATTCACATGTAGAAGAGATGGTGGGCCAGTCTTTTTGAGCATGTCGGTCTCTGCCAAAGTGCACGGCAGCGCCGACGTGTGGAGCTGTAACTACGGTCAGGGACAGTACATGTCATTTACGGCCCCCACTGGGTGAACGTGTGGTGCCGTCACAGCCGCACCAGCAACTTGGACAGGTCACGCCGCTTTTGCCTCCACGTTTGCACGTCCTTGGTCGGCAAAGATGTCCCGCCTCTACCACCTCTTCTTCCGCCCGTGTCCTCAGCCGCCACCCCCGTGCCAAGTCCCATTACCCGACCGGCATATCACATGTGCAGGGCGCAACGGTGTCACGCTGTGCTGCTGCACCTGGTATGCCTTGGCGAACGTAGTCACACAGGGGAGGAACTTCTCAGTGTAATGAACAGAGAAATCGACAGACAGATGGCTGTCTCCGCGCAAACTGAAAATCGGAACCATGTTGACCGACAACGGAAAGAACATGGTGTCTGCTCTGCGTCAAGGAAGGTTGTGCCATGCGCCATGCATGGCTCACGTGTTCAATCTGGTTGTCAAGCGGTTCCTAAAATCCACCATCCCACTGCAAGACATCCTTAAAATGTCACGTAAACTTTGCATGCATTTCAGCCATTCCTACACCGCAAAGCACACCCTCCTTGAGCTGCAGCGGCAGAACGGAATTCCACAGCATCGCCTGATCTGCGACGTTGCAACAAGGTGGAATTCAACCCTACACATGTTAGACCGCCTTTACGAACAGCGAAAGGCCATCACCGATTTCCTGATGTTACAAGCGGATAAAGGTACTCCCCTGTGTAACTTTCGATGTCAGCCATTGGCAGCTCATGCGTGACACCTGCCGCTTGCTCAGGCCCTTTGAGGAGGCCACGCTATTCGTGAGTCGGCAGGACTATGGGATGAACGACGTCATTCCTCTGTTGCACGTCCTGGAACAAATGCTGTTAACAATGGCTGGTCAGGGTGCGGTAGACGTGGCGCACAGATCTCAACGCCACATGACCCCTGTGGGGGCAGGACAGGAAGAAGAGGAGGAGGTAGAGGAGGACATTTGTGCTCAGGAATTATTGAGTGAAATGTGTGGTTTTTCCACTCAGCGGACAGGAGTGGAGGAGCAGGAGCATCTGGTAGAGGAGGAGGAGGAGGAGACAGAGGACCCAGACGCACCGTGGCAGTATGCTGTGGAGATGGAGGCAGGGAGTCCCTCGCATTCCTTGGCACAAATGGCCCATAGCATGCTCGGTTGCTTGCGTAGCGACAGCCGAATAATAACCATCAGACAGAGGGATGACTTTTGGCTGTCCACCTTGTTGGACCCTCGCTACCGTTCAAAAATGGTGGCCTTTTTCACACCTGCTGAGAGGGAGGCCAAAAATAACGTACTATAAAAACCACCTATGTAGTCAGTTGGTCTCTGTTTTTGTGCGCCAACGTCCATCCTCAGACACTGTGGGCCCTGTGCGCTCGCGTTCCGCTGCCATGGCAGCAGGGGAGGGGTGGGGTGGTAGGAGCAGTGGCAGCTCCACCAGCAGCGGCTGCCTCAGTCTGCAGTCGATGATGAGTAGCTTTCTTCACCAGCGCAGTGAGGAAACTACTAACCAGCGCGCAGCAGCAGCAGCATCAGGTGGACCTGGAGCAGGACCTCAAACAACAGGCTTGGGCCTACTTGGACAGCACCCTGCCAACCGAGGTAGACAATCCCCTTGACTACTGGGCAACGAAACTTGACCTTTGGCCCCCAACTAGCTGAATTTGCCCTTGAAAGGCTGTCATGCCCGGCCAGTAGCGTGGCATCGGAGCGCGTGTTTAGTGCGGCAGGAGGTATTGTAACCGCGGAGGACACGACTGTCCACCCAAAGTGTGGAGAGACTCACGTTTGTGAAAATGAATCAGGTGTGGATTAGTCTGGATTTCAAACCACCAGTTCCTGACACAACTGACTAAATCCGCCATGAATCATGCCCCAAACATGTGCCACTTTTTCAGGTCTCCTCACACTGCTGGTGTGTTCCATTTTTTGTCATAGGGTGCTGGCAGATTACGGGCCTCCCATAGCTGCTGCCAGGCCCCTAATCTGCCATGGGCCCCTATACCGCCTCCTCATGCTGCTGCCAAGTCCAGAGTCTCTCATGGGTCCCTGTACGGCCTCCCATTGCTGCTGTGCTGTCTCCATCGCCACACTCTGCCATGTGCCACTTTCAGGTCTCCTCACACTGCTGGTGTGTTCCATTTTTTGTCATAGAGTGCTGGCAGATTACGGGCCTCCCATAGCTTCTGCCAGGCCCCTAATCTGCCATGGGCCCCTGTACCGCCTCCTCATGCTGCTGCCAGGTCCACAGTGTCTCATGCCATGTGCCACTTTCAGGTCTCAGGTCTCCTCACACTGCTGGTGTGTTCCATTTTTTGTCATAGGGTGCTGGCAGATTACGGGCCTCCCATAGCTGCTGCCAGGCCCCTAATCTGCCATGGGCCCCTGTACCGCCTCCTCATGCTGCTGCTGCCATGGGTCCACACGGCCTCCCATTGCTGCTGTCTCCATGCCATGTGCCACTTTCAGGTCTCCTCACACTGCTGGTGTGTTCCATTTTTTTGTCATAGGGTGCTGGCAGATTACGGGCCTCCCATAGCTGCTGCCAGGCCCCTAATCTGCCATGGGCCCCTATACCGCCTCCTCATGCTGCTGCTGCAAGTCCAGAGTCTCTCATGGGTCCTTGTACGGCCTCCCATTGCTGCTGTCTCCATCGCCACACTCTGCCATGTGCCACTTTCAGGTCTCCTCACACTGCTAGTGTGTTCCATTTTTTGTCATAGGGTGCTGGCAGATTACGGGCCTCCCATAGCTGCTGCCAGGCCCCTAATCTGCCATGGGCCCCTGTACCGCCTCCTCATGCTGCTGCTGCCAGGTCCCTGTACAGTGTCTCATGCCATGTGCCACTTTCAGGTCTCCTCACACTGCTGGTGTGTTCCATTTTTTTGTCATAGGGTGCTGGCAGATTACGGGCCTCCCCATAGCTGCTGCCAGGCCCCTAATCTGCCATGGGCCCCCTGTACCGCCTCCTCATGCTGCTGCCAGGTCCACAGTGTCTTATGGCCATGTGCCACTTTCAGGTCTCCTCACACTGCTGGTGTGTTCCATTTTTTGTCATAGGGTGCATGGCTGGCAGATTACGGGCCTCCTATAGCTGCTGCCAGGCCCCTAATCTGCCATGGGCCCCTGTACTGCCTCCTCATGCTGCTGCCAGGTCCAGAGTCTCTCATGGGTCCCTGTACGGCCTCCCATTGCTGCTGTCTCCATCGCCACACTTGCCATGTGCCACTTTCAGGTCTCAGGGTCACAGCAGTGTCATTTTTGGAGGCAAACGGCCACGGAGTAGAGCACCAGCTCCACTGCAGGCCCCACCACTGCCAGTAGTGGTGCCGGTGTGCACGGAGGAAGTAGCTGTCAGCCAGTGAGGAGTAGCGGGGGCAAAGCCTCCTACTCGGCGGTGTGGCAATTTTTCGTCATGTGCCGCCCAGGAAGTCAAACTGCTAGCCGTTCCATTTTATGTCGACTAGGGTGTGGCCAGAAAGTCAAGCGTGGCCGGGGGCCCATGTTGGAACTACAGCGTTGCGTCAGCATATGCCCCCAGCGTCGCCATTTGGTGGCCTGGGAAAACCGTGATAAAGATACGGCGGTTCTGCCTGCCCTGGTGCCCAGGGTTCCATTTTTTCATAGGGTGCTGGCAGATTACGGGCCTCCCATTGCTGCTGCCAGGCCCTTAATCTGCCCATGGGCCCCTGTACCGCCTCCTCATGCTGCTGCCAGGTCCACAGTGTCTCATGGGTCCCTGTAACGGCCTCCCAATGCTGCTGTCTCCATCGCCACACTCTGCCATGTGCCACTTTCAGGTCTCCTCACACTGCTGGTGTGTTACATTTTTTGTCATAGGGTGCTAGCAGATTACGGGCCTCCCATTGCTGCTGCCAGGCCCGTAATCTGCCATGGGCCCCAGTACTGCCTCCTCATGCTGCTGCCAGGTCCACAGTCTCTCATGGGTCCCTGTACGGCCTCCCATTGCTGCTGTCTCCATCGCCACACTCTGCCATGTGCCACTTTTTCAGGTTTCCTCACACTGCTGGTGTGTTCCATTTTTTGTCATAGGGTGCTGGCAGATTACGGGCCTCCCATAGCTGCTGCCAGGCCCCTAATCTGCCATGGGCCCCTGTACCGCCTCCTCATGCTGCTGCCAGGTCCAGAGTCTCTCATGGGTCCCTGTACGGCCTCCCATTGCTGCTGTCTCCATCGCCACACTCTGCCATGTGCCACTTTCAGGTCTCCTCACACACTGCTGGTGTGTTCCATTTTTTGTCATAGGGTGCTGGCAGATTACGGGCCTCCCATTGCTGCTGCCAGGCCCCTAATCTGCCATGGGCCCCAGTACCGCCTCCTCATGCTGCTGCCAGGTCCACAGTCTCTCATGGGTCCCTGTACGGCCTCCCGTTGCTGCTGTCTCCATCGCCACACTCTGCCATGTGCCACTTTCAGGTCTCCTCACACTGCTGGTGTGTTCCATTTTTTTGTCATAGGGTGCTGGCAGATTACGGGCCTCCCATAGCTGCTGCCAGGCCCCTAATCTGCCATGGGCCCCTGTACCGCCTCCTCATGCTGCTGTCAGGTCCACAGTGTCTCATGCCATGTGCCACTTTCAGGTCTCCTCACACTGCTGGTGTGTTCCATTTTTTGTCATAGGGTGCTGGCAGATTACGGGCCTCCCATTGCTGCTGCCAGGCCCGTAATCTGCCATGGGCCCCCGTACCGACTCCTCATGCTGCTGCCAGGCCCGTAATCTGTCATGGGCCCCTGTTGTTGCTTGTTGGCATATTCCGCTCGTTCAGATGCTCCTTCTCCTGCTACTCCTCTTCACGGATTCCGTCAGCAGTCTTTCTTGGAATCCGTTTCCAAGAGACAACAGTTTGCGAGCACGCACCCGACGGTGCAGAAGCTGAACGTCCTCCTGTCCAATTTGCTGCTGCCAGGCTCGTAATCTGTCATGCGCCCCTGTACCGCCTCCTCATGCTGCTGCCAGGTCCAGAGTGTGTTATGGGCCCCCGTACCGACTCCTCATGCTGCTGCCAGGCCCGTAATCTGTCATGGGCCCCTGTACCGCCTCCTCATGCTGCTGCCAGGTCCAGAGTGTGTCATGGGTCCCTGTACCGCCTCCCATTGCTGCTGCCAGGCCCGTAATCTGCCATGGGCCCCCATACCAACTCCTCATGCTGCTGCCAGGCCGTAATCTGTCATGGGCCCCTGTACCGCCTCCTCATGCTGCTGCCAGGTCCAGAGTGTGTCATGGGTCCCTGTACGGCCTCCCATTGCTGCTGTCTCCATCGCCACACTCTGCCATGTGCCACTTTCAGGTCTCCTCACACTGCTGGTGGTTTCCATTTTTGTCATAGGGTGCTGTATGGCCTCCCATTGCTGCTGCCTCCACCGCCACACTGTGGCTCCACACTCTGGTTTTGGCCCCGTGACTGCCCAAATGAGTGAAGTGTGCGGTGATTCTAAGATCGACGGCACTCATCTGCATGTCATACTGACTGTCAGTATTATTTCTCTTCCCCAGCAGACTCCAAGGGCATTTAAATTAAAGGTACAGTGTTCTGCACTAATATAAAGGCTCTCTGAAGCCTAGAAACACCCTTTTATAAGTTAAATTCGCAGCGAATATATTCGACTCGAATCAAAATTTTTTCACGAATTCGCCGAATCAGTCGAATCGAATTTTTGAATACTTCGCTCATCTCTAAATATGATATCTCTCTCTGGAGTCTATACCTCTTCTAATACAAGAGAGGATTTTGCTCTCGTCAGAAACTGCAGCTTGGCATTGCATGCCATTATTAAGCTTGTGATCTACCAGAACTCCCAGATCCTTCTCCACCATTGATTCCCCCAGTTGTACCCCCCTAGTATGTATGATGCATGCATATTCTTAGCCCCCAAATGCATAACCTTAGATTTATCTACATTAAACCTCATTTGCCACATAGTTGCCCAATTAAACAGTGCATTGAGGTCGGCTTGTAAGTTGGAGACAACCTGTAAGGACCTTATTCCACTGCATTGCTTGGTGTCATCTGCAAAGACTGAATCTTGGGGTACACCACTGACAAGAATAATCATTAAATAAAATCTACATATTTTAATGTTTTAATTATTAATATTACCACTCCCTAATTAAGGACCCCTAAAGTTCAATGCTATGGTAATCACCAACTCACCTTTAACATATTAAGGTGGGGTCCTCAAAAAACCCAACACACTAACAAACAATAGAGGGGATAGAATTCCCCCAGAGAAGAGTAGTTTGAAAGAGAACCAACAGCAGTGTAAATAAAACCAATAGCTTTATTATACTTCACAAAAAATTGGTAGTGGACCTATTAGGTCAAAGGATCCTCCATTCACATCAATAAAATGGATAACAAAATAAATAATAATATTATTCATAAATAATAATATTAGTGCTGCGCTCCCGTGCTAAAATAAATATTAAATCATATTCTGAAGTGATGTATTTAAAAATGAATAAATAAATTATATAAACCATTCAACAGTGACTACTGTCTGTGATCAAACTATATACTTGTTGATACTTTCTATAGTAAAAAACATAATATGGTGACAAAAATAATTTTTTTTTATATATATATATAATTGGCTTAATGCAATCCAATAAAATAAAAATCAAATGTCAATGTTAAGTGAAAAAGTCCTCTTGATAAATAAAAACAACTTGTGCCACCAAATGGATGAAACAACGGTGAGTATTAATATATTATGCGCTCACCTCCTATTTAACCTAATGTGAATTTAGGCTAAAATCACTTTTTGTCCTAAAAGGACAGATGTAAACTGCTCCTGCTCCAGATCTCCTACTCAGATGGTTCCCCGTTGCAGTATGGTAATAATTCACCTGGTGTCTCTCCAAAGTGCTGCTCCCTATGATGGATATGGATGGATGGATTCCTCACTCTCACCTCCTAGGGGTCTATTCCTCTTTATGTCCCCTCCAGAGCTCCACATATATCAGCCTATTACAGTCCCTGTCCAGCAGTTCATGTGCCAATGAAAAGCATGCTCATAGGAGCAGAGATGAGATCATCACTGTGCTGCTCCCCCTTTCACTGTACAGTCAGAGGATGGGATGGGTCCAGAATGACTTGGGCTCAGAAGAAGTGGATTCAATAATGCTGGCCTGAGTAGGAGATCTGGAGCAGTAGCAGTTTTCATCTGTCCTTTTAGGACAAAAAGTGATTTTAATCCTAATTAAAAGGTATGCGCTAATAACAAACTTATACAAAGGTGTATATCATCATCCAAAAAACATTAGTGTTTTAAATAAATAATTATAGTGTCCAAACATAAATTAGGGTTCAAGTCACTGAAGATATATGTATATTTTTTGAACACTAATTTATGTTTGGACACTATAATTATTTATTTAAAACACTAATGTTTTTTGGATGATGATATACACCTTTGTATAAGTTTGTTATTAGCGCATACCTTTTAATTAGGATTATTGTTGCCAAAATTTATTTTGGGTGGGATATGTTGCTTACATTTTGGTGTTTTTTGTAAGTGGCGCTTTTTCTTTTTTAATTTGGTAAAAAGTGATTTTAGCCTAAATTCACATTAGGTTAAATAGGAGGTGAGCGCATAATATATTAATACTCACCGTTGTTTCATCCATTTGGTGGCACAAGTTGTTTTTATTTATCAAGATGACTTTTTCACTTAACACAGACATTTGTTTGATTTTTATTTTATTGGATTGCATTAAGCCAATTATATATATAAAAAAAAAAATTATTTTGGTCACCATGTTATGTTTTTTACTATAGAAAGTATCAACAAGTACTGTATATAGTTTGATCACGGACAGTAGTCACTGTTGAATGGTTTATATAATTTTATTTATTCATTTTTAGATACATCGCTTCAGAATATGAGTTAATATATTATATTTTAGCACAGGAGCGCAGCAATAATAATATTATTTATTTTGTATGTTTAGCACTATTTACGAGTCGGTGTAAGGAGCTAGCGAACCATAAGTGCATTTATAATTAATTTAATTTATTTGATTAATTGATTATTTATATCACTATTTGCATTTCACCATATTAGCTCACAAGCAATAATATCACTTGATTTGAATAAAATGGATAACGTTATCACTTCAAAATGCCCGGGCCACACATACTCTGAATATAACATAATACTACTACCTTACGTCTTAAATTAGCATTATTCAGGGGTCAATAGACCAGAGTCTTGCATAGTGGACTAGCCACTCTGACCAGCAATTTAGGATCAAAGACTCTGGAGAATAGACTCTGCAACCAGGACAAGGTCCACTATGGATGGATAGCACTTGTAAATGAACAATAAATTGGGGCAGAATAACTCACTGAGTTTGCCCAATATATACCACCAAATTGGCAATTTACATCTCATATGGAATGGCAGCCACAAAAATTGTTAGTATTAACCACATTAGTATAATATCTTGCAGTTGAATACTGCATAGTGGGTGACTTATTGGTCTGTTCATCCAGTAAATCCACTTCATCTGATCACAGATTAATTAAGAAAAATTAAACATCCAGCTTCAATAGACATCTATTGGTAACAATGTCAATATTGCATAATGAAACAATGAGGGCTAATGCCCCTTTAACCTGATCACAGGTATAGGTGATTTGATTATCTCCAAATCACTGTGTTGACATAAGTGACATTGATTTCCCACTTGAAATAGAGGCTAATAGCCTTGTAATGATGAAAGTAGAAGATTAATAACTTCAAGGTAATGAGACCAGTTCAGTCCCAGATGTATAAATCTCATTATTCAACTGAGGTACAGGCTTGAACAGCCTAATATTAAGTGGTTAAAGGGTAAGTGATCCAGTATAGTTAACTCACTCCAGCTTGATCACCAGTGCAACAAAAATAGCGTCCAAAGTCAATATTGACCATTTGTGGAGTCACTATGGGGTTTATTTACTCAACCTGGTTGACTCAGAATCTTGTCCACTTCTGCATAAAAACCAATCAGCTTCCAGGTTTTATTGCTGAAGCTTAACTGAACATGCTAAGGTTATAAGCTGGTTGGCTACCATGCACAGGTGCCCAAAATTCTGAGTCAACCAGGTTTAGTAAATAAACCCCTATATGTCAAAGTGAAAAATCGGACCGTGTATAGAGAAGTACTCGATAAATTGCTGATACGGCAATTGCCACTGAAACAAATTGTGCCCATAGGCTTTCACCACTCCAAGGTAATTGTAAGCATTTAATGTCAGCATGACAGACTTCACATAGTAAGTTTATGACGACTTGGCGTGCATCTGGATAACCGGATCATCCATATCCTCCAAACAGGCGAACCAGGCTGGAGTGAATGACTCCATAATAGTAGTAGTAGTGGTAACGGCTCACAGCGGTATTCCTGTAGTGTAATGGAGGCAGTGTACTTATTTACTGCCCTGCTCGGAGTGGCATGAGGCGGATCAACACGAGCCCATTCCCGTAGGTGTGGTCCAGGATCAACATGCGCCCATTCCTGTAGGTGTGGCCCAGAATATAAACTAACAATACTAGGTTGCCTTTATCCGCTTTGTTATTTTTGAGAGTTGGTTGTTAGTGGTTTAAATTACTACAATACTTATTTCTACTGTTCCAGAAAGATGTTGATCTTCACCTTGCAGCAAAAAAAAAAAACAAAAAAAAAAACACTTCAACAAAAATCTTGTGCAAACATAGAAAACAGTTTCCCCAGAATTTATAATTAACTAAGGCATGTGGTTTCCTTTCTAACACTGTCTTGAGCAATCTCTGTATTGAAGCTGCACACTTATCTTCCAGGCAGTGAACCAGGTGTACATGTAAATGTTCATTGCAGACATTTACATTCTGGCTTCTTATATCAAATCAAACTGCTGTATATTGACCATTTCTTACCTGTTAATTCTTTTTCTGTTTATTTGTTTTTTACTACAAGCATATGCAGAAAAAGTAACTGGATTGTGTAATATTGGAGTGTGTTCTCTGAGCCTGACCTGATGGTTAGTGATTCTCACTATTGCACAGCAAAACCTGCTAACCACAACAATCATGCTTAGTGGGCTAACTCGCTATTTGACTGTATCACATTAACTCACAAAGTATATGCACTCTGCTGAGACCGCTTTAACACTTTGAAAAGAACAGAAGATATAAAGGTCAAAAGACTTCCTTTTCAAGCCTGAAAAAATATTCCACCAGAGTCTCAAATCAGCTAACTGATCTGTTTTTATTGGAGTCTGAATTCTAAATAAAACTTAAAGATCGTTCTTGCCACTCCCAGGGTGATATAAATTTGAATATTATTTGTGGTTAAAAATCTTGCATTTGCAAAGATTTTCAATACATGCTAAAGTATATCTGAAACATGTGTATGGGCCTTAGACATTTGGAGGGTAGCTACTACACAAAAAAAAAGAGAGAGGGTATACTTTTAGTAGCAAACATTCTTGGCAGAGTGAGTCCTTAATCAATACATCAGATCAATACACTACAGACACTTTATTCAATATACTAGCAGCGCATAGTATATGATCCAGGGCCACATGCCTCAGATAGTGCCCCCCTAAAATGTGTTTTCCTTCACTGTCATAGATTGGATATTACTAAGCCTCAGGCTTGTTACTCCTCCCTACTTCCTACTGCCTCACCAGCCACAGACAGCAAACAACTACCTGTCTCTCTCTAAAGGCCCCATGGGGAAACTAACAATTTCCACCAAAGGAGGTCAACAAATTATAACAACATCTTTTCCAAGTTCTCTTCACCATGCTGCGTCTTCCCAGACCTCAACCAACTCTGCCCTCTTGGTCTCTCTTCAGCCATTTTTAACAACCCCCTTAGACAGAACACCCTTATTATGTGCAAGTCACCTGGAAATCTCAGGAATTACCCAATATTTAGGAGTGATCTCCCAGGAGCTTCAGTAAATCCCCTAAAGTCTTTCAACTCTTGACATTTCACCAAGCACTTTTATCCACCTCCCGGTGTCCTGTTACTTGTTGGTGTTATTCCACTCTCCAGACTTGAGATCAGTGTGGACATGATGCAGGCAGTGAGGAAGCTTGTTAGCCCCACTGCTTCTGGTCTTGTGACAACAGCATGTCCCATGATGTAGAGCCACAAGGGCAGTCTGAATTAGAAGACTTCCTCACTGCTGGTTGGGCACCACTCTGATTAAAGGTCTGGACATGGTTTATGCAAGATATGTAATCTTCATTAACATGTAGTAAAGGATCATTATCAGTGTAAGCATTATAGGGGTAAAATATGGGATGCCTTTTTAGCGATCAGTCACACATTACAATAAAATCTTATTTAACAAGGAAGAGATGTACATCTGCTTTAGACATTTATATAGGGGCTATTCTGATTAGCTAGAAATGGCAGCTTTAAGACCAGGTTACTACAGATCAGCATATCTGTATGAATTAATTTAAATTGCATAACTCTCCTGTCCAGTTGTTATCTGGCTTGTTATTTTTTTAGAAGGAGAGAGAATGTTGTTTTGAACTTTTTTGCTGGGTTATCAACAAAAAACATATTCACACACCCAGCAGTGTTTTATAGGGATCCACTACTATGCTCTTGGTAAGCCAGTCCCATGGCACCATCTTCTTTTCTGAGCTGGCTGTCTTTTGCAGCCAGCCCATTGATGATGCACACGCACTATGGTGTGTCATCACGGGGGTGGCTGCAAGAACTACTAAGAGACAGCCAGCTCCCTGATGACATGCTGCTGTTTATGCACTGTGGAGCACCCTGAGGCCTCCTCAGATACATGGACATTTCAGGAGACTGTAAGCAGCGAATACTTCATTCTTGCCTAGGCAAGCATTTAGGAAATGAAAAGCTGTATTCCCCCCAAAAAAGTTATAAAAAATGTAAGAATGTATATACTTTCAAAATTTACTACCACATAGTACGGCTTCACCCACTTTAAAATGACCCTGGCCTACAGCAGTCACAGATCTTCAATTGTTGACTAAATACAGATGGTGTTGTCAGTCCTTCTGCACTCTATGTTATGGAAATTGAAGGGTTTTTTCTACTGTGGCGGGCTGGCTGGAATGAGAGGATGGGTTTCTTACCTTTACCCCCTCCTTACCCCTACCACTTCCTCTCCTCCCACATTCCCCCTCTTCCCTCCTCTCTGGCCCCCCTTTTCTTTTTTTCTTTCTTTTTTTTTAATTCTTACCACTCTTGAGCTACCCCTTTCACTCTTTTTATTACACTCACATTCTAGGGTGATTTCTGCCTCCAGTGTGTTCACTTTAATATAATGGTTTACCATGGCATAGATGAGGTTTTCGGCCCTTTCAGCTTCTCCATATGCGCAATTTTGGTATTGTGTAATGTTTGAGGTTTCTTTCTTTTGGGAAATTGTCAGACCAACCTCAATGTTTCAGTAATATTCTTTGTTGTGAAAGACAAAGCTTTCTTGTACCATATTTGTTTTTTTCAATAAAGAACATTATGTAAAAAAATGTAGGAATATAAAAACAATTTGGAATATTAGAGAGCAGGGGGGTAGGAGTGGAATATCAGAAGGTGGGAAGGGAGGATATAGGTAATACGGTAAGACAGAAATTCTTCTCAAAACCAGCCCTAAATAAATTGGCAAAGCTAGTTGCTACATTTGTTTCTGTGCTGTCCCTCATAGCTGCTGATAAACATAATTTTTAAAGAGAAAATAGTTATGTTTAGGTACACTTTACAATAATTGTGACACAAAATCTTTTAAACTATCTGGGACATGCATGTCAGTCAGTACCCTTCTAATAGGTGAGGGGACCACAGGATACCTTTGCTGCCATTGTGCTTTTGCTGGGTGTCCAGTGCATTCCTATACCTTTAACCATATAGTCCATTGACGGGCACAAGGTGATTCTCTCGTTCTGGGAGGACGTCATATGACGTCCTCCCATTCTCACCACGCATGCGCGGCTCCGGGAGCGCACAGCGCGGCGATCGGCGGTGTGCTATGTCCCTCGGACACAGCGGATCACTGATCCACGGAAAGAGCCGAAGACGTCGGTTCGGTCATGTGATCAGCTGTGTCCAATCACAGCTGATCACATGTAAACAGGGAAATGCCGGTTATCGGCATTTCTTTCCTCTCGAGCTGTCACGCTGACAGCTCGAGAGGAGAGCTGGAAACCGGCATTCCGCAGAGGGGAGATGTACACTGATGATCAGGGCACTGATGATCAGTGTGCCCTGATGATCAGTGTGGCCGCAGAAGTGCCAGCTGTCAGTAACCATCAGTGCCACATCAATGCCACATATCAGTGCCTACCAGTGCACATCACTGCCACATATCAGTGCCCATCTGAGCTGCCTTTCAGTGTCACCCATCAGTGCCAGTCAGAGCCACTTATCAATGCCAATAAATGCCGTCTATCAGTGCTAGTCAGTGTCGCCTATCAGTGTGCATCAGTGCCGCCTATCAGTGCCACAAAACAGTGCCAGTCAGTGCCGCCTATTAGTGCCAGTCAGTGCAGTGCCTATTAGTGCCATCAGTGCCACGTATCAGTGCCGCATCAAATCAGTGCCACCAATCAGTGCCATATATCAGTGCTGCCTTTCAGTGATCATCAGTGATGCCTGTCAATGCCCATCAGTGCCACCTACCAGTGCCTCCTCATCAGTGCCCATAAGTGCCACCTATCAGTGTCCATAAGTGCAGCCTATCAGTGCCCATCACTGCAGTCTCATTAGCGCACATCAGTGAAGGAGTAAAATCACTTATTTACAAAATTTTATAACAAAAACTAAGAAAAAAATTTTTTTTTTCAAAATTTTCAGTGGTTTTTGGTTTGTGTAAGAAAAAATAAAAAACCCAGAGGTGATTAAATACCACCAAAATAAAGCTCTATCTGTCACAAAAAAATGATAAAAATTTCATATGAGTACAGTGTTGCATGACCACGCAGTTGTCATTCAAAGTGTGACAGCGCTGAGAGCTGGAAATTGGCCTGGGCAGGAAGGGGGTATAAGTGCCCTGTAGGCTAGCGGTTAAAGCAGTAGTAAACTTAAAAAAAAAAAACATTTCCCCTGCAAGGCGATGTCATAATGTGCTAGTATACGTTGCATAATAGCATTATTATGTGAAGCTTACTTTAAACGAAGCCCTCCAGTGTCGAGCTTTCACCACTGACAGGGCTGCCATCTACACCTGGTCCCGGTCTTCGGGGTTCGCATGCTCCAGCAGCTTGAATGGCCGAGCCGCGATGACAACATTCCCACACATGTGCGCAGGAGTCACGTTTTACGGCACAGAGATCTGGAGGAATGGTACGGGCATGCTATTCTTTCAGAGCGCACGCACCGATGCTGCTACACAAGTAAATATGTCTTAAACAGTGCACACTTAGGAGATATTTACAGCACCTGAGGTTTCCTGTAGGTACAAAAAAAATAGACTTTACTACCACTTTAAGGGGGGTGGGCTCCCTTCAGGCATACCTGCCCTTAATCTATCCATTATTATATATGTGCTCCAACTTTGTAGACTCTCAAAATGTATTTAGTTAGGACTGCAGTACACTTAGGTACCATGACGTGGCCTCTGCAGCTTACATATAGATTTGCAAATGTGTGCAAACACCCTGTTTAATGTGAACTGTTAGACAGGGTAATTTGGTTTATTTCAGGTTAGATGGTAAGTAAACTGGGAATTTTTGTTTGTTGGTTTTTGACATGCGTTGCCATCCCATGCACTCCTTGCTGCAAAGGCCAGTTATAGGTTGGGGTGGTTGCCATTTGTTTGTATTGTTAGATTCCTTCTAATAACCTGTAGGCCTTCCTCATAGGAAATGGAGATGTAAACGACTGTTAACATTCATACTGTATAGAAAACAATATGGTGGGGAATTAACTACGGTATATGTGAGAGGTATTGTATCAAGTTAAAAAGATCTACCTTATTTTTTCGCTCCATAAGACACACTTTTTTCCCCCAAAAAATGGGGGGAAATGTCTGTGCGTCTTATGGAGCGAATATTGACCAGGCTCCCCCATCACCGCCACTGTGTTAGAATACCGGGCCAGCCGCTTGGCTCTTCTGTGGCAGGAGGAGAAGCAGTGCAGCAGCGCCAGGCAGGGCCCAAAGCAGCTGCTCTTTAAAGCGGAGTTACAGCTGAAAAACAAAAGTCAGCAGCTATAAAAACTGTAGCTGCTAACTTTTAAAACACAGCCACTTACCTGTTCCTCGGTGGAGCGGTGTCCTCACCATTGCTGGTTTAACCGGCCATCTTCTCTCCCTGGCACAGGCATCTTTAGTATGGGCACTCGGCTGTGACAGCTTGCAGCTTCACAGCCAGGTGCCCACTACGCATGTGCGAGAAGCGCTGCGCTTTGTGAATGGCCCCATGGTCTTCTGGGACCTGTCACATGCCCCAGAAGACTACGGGGAGGGAAGGAGAGAAGACAACTTCCACTTCCGATCGCCTAGGCAAAGTGGGAGAGGATACCTGTCAAATTCGGGGGTCCCCCCGCTCCCCCCTGCTCCCCAAAGGTGTCAATCCTAAATGGGGAGTGGGGGTCAAAGCTTTAAAGCGGAACTTCCCCTTTTGGGCGGAACTCCACTTTAAGCCCACGCCGCCCTTAGATTGGGGCCCCGATCACTGCACTGCATAGCCGACAGGGTACGCTGAAGACATCGTTGTCAGCCCTGCCCTCAGAGAGGATGCTGAGCCCAGCTGGCCAGGTATGTTCCCCCCCTCCATAGAATGTCTGTGGTCTGCTATACCAAACTGTATATAAGTGCATTGCTGAAAGATCTCTGTTTATCCCCTGTACTATGTCCGCAGTCTCTGGTCATCTCCTGTACTACGTCTGCAGTCTCTGGTCATCTCCTGTAGTACATCCACAGTCTCTGGTCATTTTCTGTACTATGTCTGCAGTCTCTGGTCATCTCCTGTACTATGTCTGCAGTCTCTGGTCATCTCCTGTACTATGTATGCAGTCTCTGGTCATCTTCTGTACTATGTCTGCAGTCTCTGGTCATCTCCTGTACTGTCTCCGTAGTCTCTGGTCATCTCCTGTACTATGTCTGCAGTCTCTGGTCATCTCCTGTACTATGTCTGCAGTCTCTGGTCATCTCCTGTACTATGTATGCAGTCTCTGGTCATCTCCTGTATTATGTCCACAGTCTCTGGTCATCTCCTGTACTATGTCCACAGTCTCTGGTCATCCCCTGTACTGTGTCCGCAGGCTCTGGTCATCTCCTGTACTATGTCCGCAGTCTCTGGGCATCAATTCTAAATGGGGAGTGGGGGTCAAAGCTTTAAATCGGAACTTCCCCTTTTGGGCGGAACTCCACTTTAAGCCCACGCCGCCCTTAGATTGGGGCCCCGATCACTGCACTGCATAGCCGACAGGGTACGCTGAAGACATCGTTGTCAGCCCTGCCCTCAGAGAGGATGCTGAGCCCAGCTGGCCAGGTATGTCCCCCCCCTCCACAGAATGCCTGTGGACTGCTATACCAAACTGTATATAAGTGCATTGCTGAAAGATCTCTGTTTATCCCCTGTACTATGTCCGCAGTCTCTGGTCATCTCCTGTACTACGTCTGCAGTCTCTGGTCATCTCCTGTAGTACATCCACAGTCTCTGGTCATTTTCTGTACTATGTCTGCAGTCTCTGGTCATCTCCTGTACTATGTCTGCAGTCTCTGGTCATCTCCTGTACTGTCTCCGTAGTCTCTGGTCATCTCCTGTACTATGTCTGCAGTCTCTGGTCATCTCCTGTACTATGTCTGCAGTCTCTGGTCATCTCCTGTACTATGTATGCAGTCTCTGGTCATCTCCTGTATTATGTCCACAGTCTCTGGTCATCTCCTGTACTATGTCCACAGTCTCTGGTCATCCCCTGTACTGTGTCCGCAGGCTCTGGTCATCTCCTGTACTATGTCTGCAGTCTCTGGTCATCTCCTGTACTGTGTCCGCAGTCTCTGGTCACCTCCTGTACTGTGTCCGCAGTCTCTGGTCATCTCCTGTACTGTGTCCGCAGTCTCTGGTCATCTCCTGTACTATGTCCACAGTCTCTGGTCATCTCCTGTACTATGTCTGCAGTCTCTGGTCATCACCTGTCCTGTGTCCGCAGTCTCTGGTCATCTCCTGTACTGTGTCCGCAGCCTCTGGTCGTCTTCTGCAGTATGTCCGCAGTCTCTGGTCATTTTCTGTACTATGTCTGCAGTCTCTGGTCATCTCCTGTACTATGTCTGCAGTCTCTGGTCATTTCCTGTACTATGTCTGCAGTCCATTGGTTCAGAATATTTTTTTCTTGTTTTCCTCCTCATCTAAAACCTAGGTGCATCTTATGGTCAGGTGCATCTTATGGAGAGAAAAATACAGTAATTCCTGTGAAACAGTATATCTAATACCTATAATAATATTGATCCAGGAAGATGGCCAATGACTGGAATATGGAATTAGATCGTGCCACAATAGGGCAACCAGGTGGATATTGCAGGCCTTTATGGGCCTTTGAAAGACAGTAGAGCAATGGTGTTAGTGGATAATTGGCGACAAAAACTTCTTTAACTTAGTTCTGGTTTAATCAAATCATCATCTTTGAAGCTGTGTACACACTAAAGTTTTTTTTTTTGTTCAACCCAGTGGGCTGAATGAAAGAAAAATGGAGAGATGGCCGTACTAACGTAAGCAATGTTAGTGCAGCAATCTTCCCTGCTGTTCTATTGTATTCTGACATGGGGACTGCCCCCCACCACCAGAACACATTGATCAGCGCTTCTAGCCACTGGCTGCCAGCACTGATCAGTTTCCCAGCATGCCCATTGCACAGAAGCCAGCCGTGAGACCAACTACTGTAGAACAGACAACTGTACACACGGGCCAAAAGTTGTCCTGTTCCTGCCGGTCTATTTTCAGTTGGTGTATACAAGGCTAAAGACCCTTGATCTGATCTCCTGATAGACGACAATAAACACTGCCTTCTGTCAGAGGACACATGATCTCAGCACACTAATCAGTGTTATTAAAGTAAATTTAAAAAGTTGTGAACAAGCAAGTTCTTCATTGCAGAAGGGACATGCAATATCTCTTCTGAAATAAAATACACCTACCTACTTGTTTGCAATCCCTTGTAGAATGTACAGTGAGCTGGAGTTTACATTCCAGCTCACTGTCTGTGTGTTGGAATGACTGCATGGTGCCGGTCCTCAGCAGAATAAGTCAGCTGAGGACCGGCACCTAGAAGAAGCCGGGGAGAAGATGCATCAGACAGCTGGAACTTAGGTAAGTATTTTTGTTTTCATTTCAGCTTTGAGGATGACTATAGTTCCCCCTTTGTCAGCTGGTTTAATGGTAATAGAGTAATTAGAATGTAAAGCTCCACCTTATATCCTTCAAGGGAATAAAGCATATAAATAGTATTAAGAACCTGGTTATTTGAAGGGGGTGGTAAGCTATGAAGGAGAGCAGACATGCATGGTTATAGGACAGAATTACAGCCATCTTCTGAGACCTAGACTGACCATCTATTTATGCTTAAGCACAAAAAGTCTCAGGAAAAAAATACCCCAGAATGCACAGCTACCTTACCTCCCTGACTCACCAGAGAGAACATCTAAGAAGTCACTGAAGAAAGCAGGCAGCAACCTAAAAACACTTACATTTCTCTGAGAACCTCTCATCCATTTGACACAGAGAACGAGCCATCTGAATCTGAAATATACTCTCCTGTTTTGCAGAAGCATTAAAGCCTTTCATCACATCAGCCTGGGGGACAGACTGGGACACCAGACTGTTCCTAAAAGCTCTACTTATGAGAGTGGATTTTGACAGCTGAACAACATATTTAAGGACAGAACCGGATGACGTAATTTCCAAATATTGTAAAATATCAGTTTTATATTATAATTTTGTGGCAGCATAATTCAGGGGGTGCTCCAGAAGAGGTTGGGGATCTCCATCAACAGGTGACTTGCACTGATTCTAAAATGCTGGCACTTATGTACAATGCTGAACAATACAAGGTACACCCAACAACCCTAGAACAGGCCCAGTCTATACACCAACACAAACTCCCCTCACTCCAGTTGAAAGTCCGAACCCTCAAATACCATTTTGACACACTCTCGCCTCCTCTTCTCTCTACTCTTATCCCATCCCTCTTTTGTCACCTTTCCCCTGTTTATCCTTCTTTTTTTTCTACCACATTTGCACTTGGTGATTTTGTCCACCTGGTCTACCAGTTCATTCTGCTGAACCGGGTTTCAGCTTAAAAACCTCTCTAAATACACAACACCTATGAATGTAAAGGGACTTAATACCCCCCTAAAACGTTACAGGTCCCCAGGAAACCTTGGACAATGAAGGCACTATCTGAACACCTCAAAGGGACACATTTTAATAAACAAAAAAGATACCATAATTCATTTCACAGCTATTCCACAATGTCCAGTTTGAAAGAAGTCTCCATTGTAATCTACAGAAAACCATTTTAGTCATTCCAAGACCAAAATTGTAAGGGAAATTAAATAAATCTGCTGTGACACTTTTTCTGGCTTAATCCATATTGTTAATGTATTGCACCAAATTCATGGAGCTTTTTCAACTCTTTTGGTTCTGACAGTGACTCGTGTACCAAATTCAGATAGTTCTAAAATGGGCCACCTTTACATTGTGACATAACAAATGCACAAAATGTCTCACAAGCATTCTAAAAGTGGCACAGCTTTCACCAAATTCAAGTACAAGTTCTAGACAGATACTTGAATTTGGTGCACTTTACACCATTTTTAGAATGTATGAGAGACACTTCCAAGATCTGTCTGTGCTGGTCTTTATGAATTCCTGGAGGTATCCTGAAGAGGATCATAAACAGGCAAACTGTTGGCAAGTTCCTGCAATCCTGTCTGAAGGATCTCTCAAGCTTTGCCAACTGGCTATTGATTCTGGATGGGTGGGTGGAAAGGCTACTTCAACAAAGTTTTAAACCAATTCAAATATGTCCCACCTGGCATTCTGCTACCTGAATTCGTTAAAAAAAAAAAATTGCTATTCTCAGAGAGACTGGTCGAAGTTTGGCAGATCCAACCCAATGACACTAAGGGACGTTTCATATGGGCTTACCATTCAGGTCCATCTGTCAATTTATCAGGTGGATCTGATTGGGAGCTCCATGCAGCCCTATGGACTTGTGTCCATTTACATCTGACTACCTCTGAGTCTGTAAAGATCTGGAAAAAAAAAAAAGCGGAAAAGGACTGTATCCTTTTCTGTTTTTGCAGACCTAAATGTGGCAGATCAGAGGTAGCCTGATGTAGACGGACAACAGTTTGTTTACACCTGGCCACCCATAGAGCTGCACGGGTCAAACCATGATAGCAAGCACAAACTAAATGGGCACAGATGTAAAAGTACTGACACCCAACCAGTTCAGCTCTGATTCAGCACTGGATTTGCTCACAGATCCAAATTCAAAATTAAACCATTTTAGCAGAATATCCTTTAAGAAATGACACTAAGCAGAGACATCTCCCTACTGCCTCTAATTTCATACAGACTCTAGAACAGCAATGGGCAAACTACGGCCCGGCGGACCTTTTAATCCGGCCCGCGGAGCGTGGGGAGCTAGGCTCCTCTCACAGTCCGCCCTGAAGACCGGTGTAGCATGAAAATCTGTCTCCTATGAGGATCTGTCCCCCTCGACGTATCTGCGCATGTGCCGGAGATCGCCGATCGGCTGCTAATGCCTGAAACTGGCACATGCGCAGATACGTCGAGGGGGACAGATCCTCATAGGAGACAGATTTTCATACTACACCGGAACGGCGTGGGAACACGGCGAGAGGAACGCGCGGAGCAAAGGTAAGTGAATTGACACAGGGGGGACTTGGGGACTTAATATGGGGGATGAATTAATATGGGGAATGAATTACTATATGGGGGATGAATTACTATATGGGGGGATGAATTCCTATAGGGGGGAATGAATTACTATAGGGGGGATGAATTACTATGGGGGATGAATTACTATGGGGGATGAATTACTATATGGGGGATGAATTACTATGGGGGATGAATTACTATGGGGGATGAATTACTATATGGGGGATGAATTACTATATGGGGGATGAATTACTATATGGGGGATGAATTACTATGGGGGATGAATTACTATATGGGGGATGAATTACTATGGGGGATGAATTACTACAGGGGGGATGAATTACTATATGGGGGATGAATTACTATGGGGGATGAATTACTATGGGGGATGAATTACTATAGGGGGGATGAATTACTATATGGGGGATGAATTACTATAGGGGGGATGAATTACTATGGGGGATGAATTACTATATGGGGGATGAATTACTATGGGGGATGAATTACTATGGGGGATGAATTACTATATGGGGGATGAATTACTATGGGGGATGAATTACTATGGGGGATGAATTACTATATGGGGGATGAATTACTATGGGGGATGAATTACTATATGGGGGATGAATTACTACAGGGGGGATGAATTACTATATGGGGGATGAATTACTATGGGGGATGAATTACTATAGGGGGGATGAATTACTATATGGGGGGATGAATTACTATGGGGGATGAATTACTATATGGGGGATGAATTACTACAGGGGGGATGAATTACTATATGGGGGATGAATTACTATGGGGGATGAATTACTATAGGGGGGATGAATTACTATATGGGGGGGATGAATTACTATATGGGGGATGAATTACTATGGGGGAGGAATTACTATATGGGGGATGAATTACTATGGGGAATGAATTACTATATGGGGGATGAATTACTATGGGGGGGATGAATTACTATGGGGGATGAATTACTATATGGGGGATGAATTACTATATGGGGTATGAATTACTATGGGGGATGAATTACTATGGGGGATGAATTACTATATGGGGGATTAATTACTATGCTTACTATGGGGGAATATTACTATACTTAGTATGGATGACACATACACATCATTCATCTACTCTTGGTCCGGCCCCCGGGTCCAATATATGAACCCATTGCGGCCCTCAAGTCAAAAAGTTTGCCCACCCCTGCTCTAGAACCTTTCCTAAGACATGTAAGAGCCAATCCTGAATAAACGTGCAGAATGGAAAATTTTTTTTAGTTTTGTTTGGAATAGATTCATTATGTTACTAATTTCGTTATGTTAATTTGTTTCAGAATTTGTTTGGTTCGTTTATTCATTCACGAATTCCAAATTTTCAGAACTATTCAAATTCGGATCAGTCAAAAATTGCTCAACTCATCCAAATTCTGTGTG